ACTGCATTTATTGACCGCCGCTCTCAGCCCTAGGGCGACTCGCGGCGGTGCACAACATATAAAAACAGTTTACAAAAAGGGCAAAACAGGGAATCAATACAACAATAATACACTATAATCTAGTTACACTAAATAATCCGCTCCGTCACATCATAGAATCATAACCAATATCGTAATCCGTATTCCGTTCCAGTTGTCAATTACCAGTTGCCGTAGCGCTCAGTTGAATGCCTTCTCAAATAGCCAGGTCTTCAGGCTCTTCAGGCGGAAGGACAGAAGGGAGGGCGCCTGTCTGATGTCTACAGGGAGGGTGTTCCACAGCCGGGGGGCCACCACCGAGAAGGCCCTATCTCTCGTCCCCGCCAGGCGTGCCTGTGAGGCAGGCGGGATCGAGAGAAGGGCCTCCCCAGACGATCTCAAGGTCCTCGTGGGCTCATAGGCCAAGATGCGGTCTGAAAGGTATTTTTATTTATTTTATTTTTATTTATTAATTAAAGGTATTTATTACTCAAGTCAACAGGAACAGTGCCACATTATTATGCACGTGAAGCCATTCTTCATGTCTGCCCCACCGCCACCAAAACTGATAAATGAATCCACAGAAGGATCATTAGAGCTGCAGCCACGCAAAGAGGCTGTGGCAGAAGAAAGAAAACAATCCCATCGCTTCCATCAGACCTTGTGACTCTGAAGGAACTCCTATCTTCAACTATCACAGTTTTCTGGGAGACCTTCATCTTCATTCCAGTAAGTTGGAAAATTGAACAAAAGTTATGTCCAGGATACATACCTGATTCACAGTCTTGCTGCTCCATGATATGACCTTTTTTGCCCATGAGGTATTTTTACTGTTCTGTGTTGCCATACATGTGAGTGGTATTTCTAAAAGCCTAGGGAGCAAGGCTGAATTATAAAAAAACAAGGAGCAAGTGAAAAGGGGGTTGTGTGTGTTGTTCATGAGAAGACACACCATCATCCCCATATGAACAGTCCATATACTGCCTATAGATTTTCCTGTTGTTCTTCTGGCCCTTTTCCTCTGACAATCTGATCATCTTCCTATCCAAAACAGGTTTCCTTTAATGGCATACAATATAAAATTCACATTCCACATCTCTATAGATTTTTTTAAAGGCAAATATTTCACATATTTATGAAAAGGTGTTTCTAAGAGGCTACCCTAAGAAGTAAATCTTTCCCCTTTCTTTAGTGTTATTTCACTCTCCATAGGCAATCCAGCTGCTCTCTGAATGGATGAATCAATCAGTCCTATATCTTCTGATAATAACAGGGGGAAGACTTTTGAAAATCAAACTGCTAGAATCTAATTGGTCTTTTGAGGACCAAACCACATATTCCAAATGTTTGATTATGAGATTAGTTGCACTAACTGCAGTGGGACTTCTTTCCACACAATGTATTTAGAACTAAGGTGTGTTTAATGCCTGTTTGGTTCAAAGCACACTTCACATTATTCCGTTTCACTGTGAGAAAATGTCCTGCCTGCCAGTCTTTTTCAGTTGTGCAAGCTAAGGATGAAAATAATCTATGTTCCTTCCACTCATGCTAAGTCTCCATCACAGCCTGCAGCGATGAGCAACTCTGAGCTTAACATTCACAAACATTTGGGACTAGGTCAGGTGCTGCCTTTTAAAGTCTAAGCTTTGTTCATTCAATAACCTCCCCATGAGACCTGTCATGTTCTCACCTTCCAAAGCAAGATCCCACCCATTGCCTCTCTCAAAGCGCTGCCACTTTGCCTACAGACACAGGTCAGCAGGCGGAGAGCCCAGCTGCTCCTTGCTGGGAAAGAAACACCCACCGGACAATTAACACAGAAGTCTCTTGACTGGAGGGGAGATCCTTCTCCACAGGGCTCCCCGGGGGTCTAGTATGACTGCGCTCTCAACTGCTCCTTTTCTCCTAAACTGGGTGGTGTCCTTGTAGTCTGATCCACAGATGTCTCTTATGCCATATTGCAGAACTGGAGACGGAGAAAGTCTTTCTTCTCTGTGTGTGTCCTATTCGAATCTGCTCGCTGAGCTAAAAACTAGCTTTGATTAGCAACCTCTAAGGAGCGTGCTCTGAAGTCAAAAGCACACTGAGATGTCCTCCCAATGGCTGCTCCCCAACACTAATGAAAATCTGTCAAAGTACACTTTAGAAGCAACATGGTTTTGCATTGTAATAAGCACTTTTTGATAATTCTCAGGTAGATAAATAGTTCTTTTAAGTTCTCTGTTTTAAATAAGTTCTCCCTTTTTAGAACTGTTAAATACTTTGACACTGATGGAGCTCTTTAAAAATGATTATTTTTTGTGAATGGCTCAGTCCAATTTATATAGGATTAGAAAATACCATAAGATGCCAGATGTTCAAATCTGAGGGAGTGTCAGGATCACAAATTTCATGCATTGTAAGGATACACTGACATTTGGAGAAAAGGTGGAGAGAAATGTGTATACTTCTCAAGTGCACGTGAATGCATTGATTTCTTTTTTCTATAATATATTGCCTGGAATATGTCAAAGCAGATATTGCAACCTGCAGTCAAAGCAGAACCTGAAATTCTAAACATAGTTATTAGAGAGTAAAATGGAACATGGCCTGTATAACTATTTTCTTCCTCAAAAAAAAGGGAATGGAGGCACATTGAGAAGAATGCTGACCATTTCCCCAGCATATCAGTATTATGATGGAAGAAGATAGCTTTACCAGTGATGTCTTTTCTGTACAATACCCCCACCATTCATACAGATCTGCATTCTCACATCTAAAGTAAATTAAAGTGACCCAAGCCAACTCGCTGACTTCATAGCTGAACAGGGATTATAATTCAGTTACCACCAGGGTCTCAGTATATGTATTGACAGGATACTAATATCATTAAGAACCAAATCTGAGTTTGGTCCAACACCGATGGATCATGATGTGAGCCAGGTGGTTCCATCTTTACACTGGGAGAGTGTAAAGATGAGAGTGGAGGCCAGGGTGTGGGTGGCCATACTTAACCTCTGGCTCAGACTGTCCCGTGCACCCCTTGGCCTTGCCCCACTAACCATGGAGGATGACTTCCAATCCACATGGAAGCAGGCGGTAGCATCCAAAATCTCCTCGTTGGGATTTTCTCCAGGTCTACTATTAGCTATGGATTACAATCAAGCCAAAGCACTTATTAAACAACGTATCACAGACACAGAGCGCCAACTAGATCTGGCCTCGGCTCCAAGCTTCCTTATCAGTGAAGACAGCAGATACCTTGCCTCCCCTATGGCATATTTAACATACTTAGAGGTTCCTATTCATCGAAGGGCTTTCACCCTGGCCCGATGCCACGCTGCCCTAGCATCTCGTCTGGTTCGAGGGCTAACGGAAGATCCCTTTCAGAGGAGGACTTGCCCCTGTGCTCGGGTGTCGCCCCTCCGCAACAAATGTTGACTCTTACAACAGTGCGTTGTACAGGATATCCATATACACCGCTCTCGGATCATCGCGAAGCTTGCTAGACAAGACCCGGCCATTAGGGACCACCTCCCTCCACCCCCCCTCTACGACGGCATCACCTACAAGCACACTCCCCCCCGTCTTTACCACAAGAGGGCCAGAAAGCATACGCTATGCGATCATGTGTCTTAACGCTTCGCAAACCACACGCAGCCGATGTCATCGCTCACCCTACCCCCCAACTGATCACATGTTAGTCCATATGCTCACTTACACGCGACAATCTTCAGCGAGCACATTATACACACCTCGATGGGTGGACGGATTCTCTGTCGGCCAGTATATTTACCACCCTTTCTTGTGTGTGTGCTCCAATATTGGTTTAGTAGTTATATTTTATATTTCCGATAACCGGTAGGGGAACACGCCAAGGTTGTTGGCAGCCGTGGACACTATTGACAATCTTGCGGGTATGTGTACATCGTCACATATAGATCTACTGTCCCTGCGTATGATCCCTCGTGTGTGTGTGACCAATCCCCACAGGTTGTGAATTAAATGCTATACCTCTCCCCTCCGTTCTGACTCAAAGGAAAAAAAGAAAGAGCTGTATTTCTCTCAAACATCATGGCATTAAAGAATATTGAGCTGTTCCACAAGACCCACTGTTTTCTATATAAAACCATTTTAAGAGTGGTTGTAGCTTCAAAATGGCTGCTAGATGAGCCACAGATGACATCTACTGGCAAAGAGTGGTAAATTACTTATAACTTTTAAGATGAATTGAAACAAGGCAAGATATGGACATGTACATGGGCCTGTAAAATCATTTCAAAAACGTATTCATCTGTGTCACTGGAAATGATAACTTCTGGCACTTCTTTGCCTCCAGCACATATCAGTGTCTGACATTGTGAGACCAAATGCAACCCTGACACTGGCACAAATGGCCACAATAAGTACTTGTTCCTTTATTTATTCATTTATGAGGTAGCAATGAAAACAGTTTTATAGTTGGGAGTCATCCCAACCTGAGAAACTGTGTCAAGGGATCACAGCATTAGGAAGGTTGAGAAACACTGTGGTAGATGGAAAATATGGCTTATTTTGACCTCTGATAAGTTGACTTTATGGGGGTCCTTATGTTGGACGATTCCATCTGAACATTAGGAAGAACTTCCTGACTGTGAGAGCCGTTCAGCAGTGGAACTCTCTGCCCCGGAGTGTGGTGGAGGCTCCTTTGGAAGCTTTTAAGCAGAGGCTGGATGGCCATTTGTCAGGGGTGATTTGAATGCAATATTCCTGCTTCTTGGCAGAATGGGGTTGGACTGGATGGCCCATGAGGTCTCTTCCAACTCTTTGATTCTATGATTCTATGAAAGGACAAGAAAGGAAGGTAAACCTTGATCCTGACAAGTTTTGATTGAGAGGAGGGAGGCTATAGTTCCCCTTAAATGTTACACTTGATCTTCCATATAGATAGATAGATAGATAGATAGATAGATAGATAGATAGATAGATGGACCAGCCCCCCCCCCCCAAAGATCAACAAAAGATTTGGTTTTTGTAAATAATGTTTTTAATTGTTCTGTAAAGATAAATTTGTTCATTACAAAAAATGTTTTATGTCTCTAAACCAGACAGTGTTTCACTGAAATGGGAGGCGGTCGCCTGACATGACATTTCAGCAGGGCCGCGTTTGTTATTTTCGTAGTACCTGATTTCAAGGGAGCTTGAGAGGGAACACCTCCATGGTCTGAGCAGAAAGAGCAGGTGCCACATTTTAGACACAGGACAGATGGATCATTAGCTCCTAGGTGATAAACATACAGTAAACAAAGTGCGCTTAGTTCATGCAAAGAGTTTTTCGTGACAACCTACCCCTGATTGGAGAAAACTACTCCAGAACTCATCCTGCTTTCAGAATTATTCTCTCAGTATCCTAGCTATATTTATCTTCTGAGAACACCCAGCACAGTAAGTATTTTTAATTACAAGTTGTAGTAGCTCCAACAGGGAGCTCTGGCTTGGGCTGGTCCATGAGGTCAGGAAGAGTCGGAAGCAACTGAATGAATAAACAACAAGTAGAATGTTTCTTCAGTTCAAAGCTCTCATACAGTCTAATGAGGAATCCTTCATGCCAATCAACTCTGCAAGAAACATTGCTCAGCTCCAAAGATGGAGGACTGGTGCCCCTCTAGCTGTTGTTGGGCTATAACTGCAATCATTCTTAATCACTGATTATACTAGTTGAGGCTGCGAAGAGCTGGAACTCAAAAGCTCCCTATATCTCTAGTCACCTGTGGCTCTTCACACCTCTTGCCCAGGGGGACCCAGAAGATGCCACCACTGAAAGGTGAACTAAATCAGTAGGCTATTTCATATTTAAAATGTCAGGGGAAGGAAAACTACTTAGAAGAAATTGAAAGGAAGAGCACCACAGGCCAAGTGGGCACCAAGTGGGTAACCAAAATGAAAACAGAGTTCTTAATTGTGAGAGATCAGGGGAAGAACCCACTATCACAAAGGGGTACCTCAGCACCAAGCCACATAACCTTTCCCAAGAGTTACCTAGAGCTCAGTGAGATCATCATTGAAGTAGAGTAAGATGGCTGGTGTGAAGGCATCGGCATCCATGTTGAGCTCGTAGAAGTCTTCATCCTCATCTGGAATGTTATTTTGTTGAAGAGTCTTCTCCATGTCTAGATAGACGCCTTCGTATTTCCATGTGTAGCTAGCAGCGTGGGCATTGTAAGGGAGGTAGCGTCGCAAGATCTCCCACATGTTTTCCTCTGAACACACCTGCAGAAAACTCCAGGAGTGGAATTACAAGAGGATCAGAATAGAAATCATCCTAGAACCAAAGAACTCCCTACAGTTGCCATATTCTTAAAGACATGGGATGGAGCAAAAAATACATGATATCTCCGTTTGACTTCCGCAACATTATCTCATAAAAGCTTTAACAACATAAGAGTCACATGCTTAATTTTTGATACAAATTTAATGTAGAGATGGGACAGGACTTACCTCAAGGGAATGCTCCTGAGAGGTCAGAGTGTTGATGATTCGTATATGCCTTGTTTTGGAGGACAAGATGCCCACCTCATATATGGGATCCCTCCACCAGGGCTTACCGAAGTCATTGGCCCAGTCTGAGCGAGGTAGGGGAGGTGGAATGTGCACAAAGCGGCCTTGCGGAGTATAATATTTGAGACATCCCGTTAGAGGATCAATGTGTGTCTGTATCTGGAAGGAAAGAAGGAAGGGTAAATTAGTGAAGAGCTCTGATTTCTTCACTGAGCAAACAAGAGAGTGGATTTCAATGAAGACTTGGATGAAGGAGTAGAGAGGTGATCATCAAACTATGCATTTAGATTTTTAATATCAGGCACTTTGGAAATTGTTTCAAAGCTTTCAGAATATTGCATTGGTTTATTCCAGGCACGGGCCAACTTCAGCCGTCCAGCTGTTTTGGACTTGATTGTTAGGAATTTTGGGAGTTGAAGTCCAAAACGCCTGGAGGGCCGAAGTTGGACCATGTCTGGTTCATCCTATTTCAGTATTTTACCCTGGTTTGTATCTTTTCTTGTTTTCCCTTTTCTTATATTTTTAAATCTAAAGAATTCTGGAGACCATAAAACTAAAGAAGAAAATGTAGAGGTACATGTGAAAACTCTTAAATCAAATAAAAAGTCACCTCTCTAAGTTAGGCTCAGATTGAAGTTGCCTTGATTTTTGGTGCTTGCAGGTACTCACATCTTTGGTTTTGGGGTTGAACCAATGGCTAATGTCTTTCCCTGCTGCTTCTAGGATTGGTTTCATCAAGAGATCTCCTGGAAAAGGCAGAGAAGATAGCACACGACACGGGGCGATCATGCCAATGAACCATTGAAACTGAACTTGTTATTATTATATTATGTCACAATAATCAAGTCAGTTGTTGCATTAGTCATTCACTTTCCATTAGCTTCAAGAGAGAAATCTCTAGACCTAACAATCAAGTGGCATGACATTTTTTAAACTCCTGTGAAAATGCATTGAAATAACATTTTGTCTGTTTGAAAAATGTTTTTGCTCTGCCCTCGGTCCCCTCAAAAGGAAATAACGACAGTTTGACGATATTGTCTGGACTGCATAGCTTCCACAACAACAGATAGAAAGATAGATAGTCAGACAGACAGGCATATATAATAATACATACTGTATAAACATTGCAGTTTTGGAGATATTATTTATACCGCATTGCTTCCACAACCTCAGCTAGTTAGCTAGCTAGCTAGATATAGCTAGATAGACATATATAATAATACATACTGTATAAACACTGCTGTTTGGATATATTATTTATACCTCATTGCTTCCACAACATCAGATTTTTTTTTATTGTGTCAGAAGTGAATTGAACATACTACAAGTCGCTTTTGGTGTAAGAGAACTGGACGTCTACAGAGACGTTGCCCAGGGGACATCCGGATGTATTATCATCCTGTGGGAGGTCTCTCTCATGTCCCCACATGAGAAGCTGGGGCTGACAGACGAGTGCTCACTCCATCTCGCGGATTCAGATCACTGACCTTCAGGTCAGCAGTTCAGCCGGCACAAGGGTTTAACCCATTGCGCCACCATGGCTCCCAACATCAGATAGATAGATAGACAGATATAATAATACATACTGTATAAACAAGACATTGTGGTTTGGAGATATTATTTATACCGCATCACTTCCACGACGTCAGATAGATAAATAGATTGATATAGATAGATAGATAGACAGACATATATAATAACACAAACTGTATAAACATTATAGTGGAGATGTTATTTATACTGCATTGCTTCCACAACATCAGATAGAGAGACAGATAGATAGAAAAATATAGATAAATAGACATATATAATAATAATACATACTGTATAAACATTGCAGTTTGGAGATACTATTTATACCTCATTGTTTCCATAACATCACATAGATAGACAGACAGACAGGTAGAGAGAGAGAGAGAGAGGGAAAGAGAGATAATACATACTGTATAAACATTGCAGTTTGGAGACATTATTTATACTGCATTGCTTCAACAACATCAGATAGATAGAGATTGATAGACATACATACTGTATTGTTTATACAGTATGTATTATTATATATGTCTGTCTATATCAGTGGTTCCCAACCTTTTTTGACCAGGGACCACTCTCCAACATTAGTACCAAAAAGGGTTACGAATCAGTTTTTGATGAACTTTAGATTCGGTTTGGTTATTTGGGGTGCTGATTGAGAAAATTGCATTGGATAGACCACATCAACTCTAGTTTCTAATACAGAACACATGCCAGCCGGTAGTCACCATCTGCTCAGCCACAGAAGACCTTATTTAATAATCTAAAGTTGTGTACCTTAACGTAGGTCTCGCGGCCCACTAGTGGGCCACAGCCCACAGGTTGGGAGCCACTGATCTATATCTATCTGATGTTTTGGAAGCAATTGGGTACATACTGTATAAATACATTGCATTTTGGAGATATTATTTATATCTCATTGCTTCCAAAACATCAGATAGATAAGAGATCGATAGACAGGCAGACAGACAGGCAGAGATATAATACATACTGTATAAACATTGCAGTTTGGAGACACTATTTATACTGCATTGCTTCCACCGCATCAGATAGATAGATAGATAGATAGATAGATAGATAGATAGATAGATAGACAGACAGACAGACAGACAGATAAGGAATGAATGTGTGAGTGCATGGAGAAAAGCGGAAGAAACAGGCCTGGAGAATGCAACATGGAGTTCGCGCAAAGCATGATATGGGTTGGACTTGGCAGACGAAGCGAGGAAGCAGTAAGGCATAGCTGAGTAGCAATGGACAATGAGATGTGCAACAAGCATGTAAGGAGTGTGCAGGTGTATCTCATAAGTCATTTGGCCTGGAATGTGGATGTTTTGAACCCACAAGAACAGAACAGCATGTTCAAAGAAAGAAAGATTGACTTTGTCCAATAAATGCAGATGAACCCAAGATTATGCACGCTTCCTGATACGTGGAAACGGGAATGTCCACACCTCCTTGGAGAAAGCTAATCATCTTCACCGGAGGAGGCCTGTGTGTGTGTGAGTATGTGTGAATGTCTGGAATGTGTGCATGAGAGCTCTCCCTTGATGTGATTCTATTTGGTCTCTGAAGTGTCTAATTGGTCTAAACTGCCTTCCTATTCCTTGAGGTCTCACTACGTCTGAGGATGCTTGCCATAGATGCAGGCGAAACATCAAGAGAGAATGCCTCTAGAACATGGCCATATAGCCTGAAAAAACCTACAACAACCTAATGCATTGTTTGTTGTTGTTGGGTCATTTCCGACTCTTCGAGACCTCATGGGCCAGCTCACGTCAGAGCTCCCTGTCGGCCCTCACCACCCCCAGCTCCCTCAAGGTCAATCCAGTCACTTCAAGGATGCCATCCAATGCATTGTTTATACAGTATTTATTTTATATTTCTATCTGTTTATATCTATCCGATGTTGGGGAAGCAATGCGGTACATACTGTATAACAATACATTGCATTTTGGAGATATCATTTATACCTCATTGCTTCCAAAACATCAGATAGATAGATAGATAGATAGATAGATAGATAGATAGATAGATAGATAGACTAGCTGTCCCCTGCCACGCGTTGCTGTGGCCCAGTCTTAATCTGGAAAATAAAGTAATGAGAAAGTGTTGGTTTCTAATATATGTAATTCCTTTATGCTTGTGGTTAAACAGTATTTCTTGCTGTTTCTTTGTCAGTGTTGATGTGGAGATTGTCTGGTTTGCCTACTCTGGAACATGCAACATATCATTGTCCTTCTTTAGGAGTCCCTTTCAAATCTATGATACTATATCTGTGTGTGTGTGAATAATGTGTTTCTATCTATCTCGATAGCTGGATGGCTCTTTGTCAGGAGGACTTTGATTACGTTTTCTTGCCCTGATGAAGGGAGTTGGACTGGATGGCCTTGAGTATTTTCTGTTGGTCATGGGGGTTCTGTGTGGGAAGTTTGCCCCGATTTGTGGGGTTCAGAACGCTCTTTGATTGTAGGTGAACTGTGAATCCCAGTGACTACAACACCCAAATGTCAAGGTCTATTTCCCCCAAACTTCATCTGTGTTCATATTTGGGTTTATTGAGTGCTTGTGCCAAGTTTGGTCCAGATCCATCATTGTTTGAGTCCACAGCGCTCTCTGGATGTAGGTGAACTACAACTCTCAAACTCAAGGTCAATGCCCACCAAAACACTTCCAGTATTTTCTGTTGGTTCAATTCTATTGTTGGTGGAGTTCAGAATGCTCTTTGATTATAGGTGAACTATAAATCCCAGCAACTACAACTCCCAAATGACAAAATTGTAATTTTTTGAGTGATGGTCACTCCTTGGGTTGTGAGACGTTTTGTTGCCAAATTTGGTGTGATTTCTTTCATTGGTTCTTTTGTTTTTAAGGTACTCATTATGCACAGAGCATTTATATATATATATATATATATATATATATATATAGACAGACAGACAGACAGACAGACAGACAGACAGACAGACAGACATATGCAATTATGCATACTGTATATACATTTCAGTTTGGAGATATTATTTATGGTGATATTAATAATATATACTGTGTAAACATTGCAGTTTGGAGATATTACTAATCCTGTATTGCTTCCACAACATCAGATAGATAGATACCTATTTATAATACATATTGTGTAGACATAGGGAGGTCCTAAGTATTTATATACACTTTTATCTTTACTAATTTAGGGTAACACTAATGACAACAAGGATGGGATCTTGAACCCTGCTGGAAAGGCTCACCCTTGTGGGCGGCGGCCAAAGAGGTGAGGTCGTAGACGCGGCCCAAATAGGAGACCCAGAGGTCCCCGGGCCGGGTGTGCACCGAGACTTCCTTCGGGGTGTAGTAGCGCGGCCTGCACGACTCCATGCCTGCTGCCATTGAGGAAGGACGCCCAGCGCTGCCATGGAAACGACGTCGCGTTCATCACGTGACGCAACGCGGCCTCCCCGCGCTCTATTTGTGGAGCGTGGGGAAGCCGCGTTGCGTCACGTGACTGACGCAACGTCGTTCCCTGCGCACAGGAAGCTTTCGAGGCCTATTGCGCCTGCGCAAGGGAGAATGGCGGCTCCTGCTCTTCCAGGCCCTTTGCCGAGGGGAGAAGAGAACGGCTGTGGGAACAGCCCTGGGGTAAGGAGGCCTCCGTGGGGCAGAGCAGGAGGGGGTTAGTCCCCTCGAAAACGACGTGGTTGCCGGGGGAGCGATTTTTTTAGGCCCCCTACAATATTTTGGACTTCATTTCCCAGAATCCCTAGCCATTCACCAAGGCAGCTGAGGCTTCTGGGAGTTGGAGTCCAAAACACCTGAAGGGCTAGAGACTGGGATGCATACTCGCTGGGTTAGGAGTTGCTTTGATCCCACTTATATTATTATACCTATTCAGCATCAAATGCATTGGTTACCTGAAACCTTGAGCTCCCAGGAGACAAGACAGGGAATTAACAACAACAACAACAACAACAATAAATTACATTATTATATACTAGTCATCCCCTGCCACGCACTGCTGTGGCCCAGTCTATGTATATGTGTTTTGTGTGTGTCTATATATGTGTATATATATGTGTTTGTGTTTATATATAGGTGTTTATTTATTTATTTATTTACTTACTTACCTTACTTATATACCGCTGTTCTCAGCCCGAAGGCGACTCACAGCGGTTCACAACAAATACGAACAGCAAAAATTCAGTGCTACAGTATAGAAACAGTAACAACCTAACACATTACACAATTAATAAACAGTTACTACAATACCCATTCACTGTCGTCTCGTCATCAAAACATGTTCCAGATTCGTCATCCATTGTTCCATTCCAGTGTTCATTAACCAATCATTGCACTAATTATTCGAACGCCTGCTCAAACAGCCAGGTCTTCACTTTTTTGCGGAATACCATTAGAGATGGTGCTAGTCTAATGTCCGTAGGAAGGGCGTTCCACAGCCGAGGAGCCACCACCGAGAAGGCCCTATCTCTCGTCCCCGCCAGCCGTGCTTGAGAAGCAGGTGGGATCGAGAGCAGGGCCTCCCCGGAAGATCTCAAAGTCCTGGTGGGTTCATAGGCAGAGATGCGGTCAGATAGGTAGCTTGGGCCGGAACCGTTTAGGGCTTTAAAGGCCAACGCCAGCACTTTGAATTGATCCCGGTAGCAAATCGGTAGCCAGTGGAGTTGGCGCAACAGGGGGGTTGTATGCTCCCTGCGCTCCGCTCCTGTTAAAATCATGGCTAAGTTCTTGTGGGTTTTTTTCGGGCTATATGGCCATGTTCTAGAGGCATTTCTCCTGACGTTTCGCCTGCATCTATGGCAAGCATCCTCAGAGGTGATGGCTGCTGATCGTTGGACTAGTTGGAGCTTCCGAGCCGTCTTCAAAGGCAACCCCACGTAGAGAGCGTTGCAGTAGTCTAAATGGGATGTAACCAGAGTGTGGTATATTAGTATATTAGTATATTATTATATACTAGTCGTCCCCTGCCATGCATTGCAGTGGCCCAGTCTATGCATATGTGTTTTGTGTGTGTATATATTTGTGTATATATGTGTGTTTGTGTTTATATATGTGTGTGTATGATGGATGGATGGCATCCTTGAAGTGACTGGACTGACCTTGAAGGAGCTGGGGGTGGTGACGGCTGACAGGGAGCTCTGGCATGGGCTGGTCCATGAGGTCACGAAGAGTCAGAGACGACTGAACGAATGAACAACAACATATGTGTGTATATATTTGTGTGTTTATATGTGTACATGCATATTGTGTATAGGTGTGTGCTTGTCTATATGCATATTTGTGTGTATATATGTATGTATGTATGTGTATATGCGCATATATATATATTGCCTGTGTATATATGTGTGTGTATATATTTGTGTGTGTTTGTGCATATATATATGTGTGTGTGTATGAATGTGTGCATATGTATATGAATGTATGTGTATATGTATATATGGTGTATTTTGGGGTTTTTAAGTCTGTTCTGCTGGGGTTTTGTGTGTGTGTGTGTGTGTGTGTTTAGGGGTGATGGACACCCATTGGACTGTTAGGTGTATTGTGTCCAAATTTGGTGTCAATTTGTCCAGTGGTTTTTCAGTTATGTTAATCCCACAAACAAACATTACATTTTTATTTATATAGATACTTATATCCTAGTTTCACAGCATTAAATGCCTTATTGGTTCCCTGTGTCAGCCATCTTGAGCTCCCTGGAGACAAGGCAGGGAAATAATAATAATAATAATAATAATAATAATAATAATAATAATAATTTATGATGATGATATTATTATTATTATTATTATTATTATTATTATTATTATTATTATTTTATTATATCCCAGTCTCATAGCATTGAATGCATTATTGGTTCTCTGCCTTGAGGCTCTTGGAAACAAACAAGGGAATAGATAATAATAAATATAATAATAAAAGATTGTTATATTATTGTTGTTGTTATTATACTTCTATCCAGGGCTGTACCCAGAAAAAAAATTCGGCAGGGGTTGAAAATTTTCGGGGGGGGGGGGGGGGGGGGGGGGGGTTGAAAATTTTTGAACTGGATTGTATGGCATATAGACTCATATAGCAGATAATAGGGATCATCTGCTTCGATAATCTGGATTATATGGCGGTGTAGAAGGGGCCGAAGATGCTCCTCAGAGGGATAATAGTTTCCAGACCTTGGATCATTTTGATTGTCCTTTTCTAGCTTTTCTTGTTCTCAAATTGCTTTGCTCAGAACTGAATATAGGGTTATCCCCGGTGAGGTCTGACCAATGCATAATAGAGCGCAACCCTTACTTCCTTTGATCTCAGTAATAAGCACCTGTGGATGTGGCCCAGAATTGCGTTGGCTATTTGAGCTGCCACATCACACTGTTGACTCAGATCCTCCTTACCTACCCCTGGAAAGGCTTCCTAAGGAAATATGCCCCCAAGCATCAGCAGTGTCCCATGTCATTCCTGTCACCTACCACAATGTCTAATAAGTTGTCCTATTCAATATTCTGGAGAGATTGCCTCTGTCCTGTGAAATGTAACCACTGGGGGATATTCCTGCCAGGACTTTGTGGAGGACAAGGCCGACCCGCCCTATCTGCGCGCCCGCCGCAAGCTGGAGAACCTGCTCAACAAAAGCATGCGCATCCGGATGACTGATGGGCGGACTTTGGTGGGCTGCTTCCTCTGCACTGACCGCGACTGCAACGTCATCCTTGGCTCGGCCCAAGAGTACTTGAAAGCCTCCGGTGAGTCTTTGCCAGGTCTAAGTCCTGCTTCGATGGAAGAGGAACAATAGCCGGGTGTTGAGTAGCTTTCGGTTTTTATGGGTGTGTTCTAGCAGCATTTTCTCCTGATGTTCCACCTGCAGGTGAAGCATCAGGAAAAAATGCTGCTAGAACACACCCATACAGCCAGACAACACCCTAATGATCACTTGAGCTTTCAGCATAAAAGTCCTAAGGAGGGGGAGAAAAGAAGCAACGTAGAAGCTCCTTCAAAACTAACTGGTTTATTTTAGCATGAGCATTTGTTGATTTGTCTGTATGAGTTGGTTCAGATCCTGAAATCCTTAGGAGATAAGAGCCTTCCAGTGACTGTCCCTAAAACTGAAGGTTTTTGGAGAAAGGGCCTTTGGAAGCATTGCTTTAAATTTTACACCTTTTCATATTTTTTCAATTGTTTTTGCTGCTCCAAGACTGTGGAATGACCTCCTGAAAGAGATTTGACAGCTAAAACAACTGTCAGTTTAAGACATAACTGAAGACCTATCTCTTCCAGTAGGTTTTAACTAGTGAATTTTAGCCTGCACTTTATCAACGTTGGTTTTGTGTGCATCTTATTATATGTACATTAATAGTGTTCTGTTTTATCTTTCTATTTTAACCATGTTGTACCCTGCCTTAAGCTGCATAGAGAAACAGGAAATACAGGTTTCTCCATTATTATTATTATTATTATTATTATTATTATTATCATCGTCATCATCATTCCAGGTTGATGTGAGTTTTTCAGGCTGTGTGGCCATGTTCCAGAAACATTCTTTCCTGACATTTCGTCCACATCAGTGGCAGGAGGTATGTTGGAAACTAGGCAGTGAGGTTTATATATCTGGGAATAATGTCCAGGGTGGGAGAAAAAACTCTTGTCACCTTGGGGCAGGTGTGAATGTTGCAATTGGCCACATTGATTAGCATTGAATAGCCTTGCAGTTTCAAAGCCTGGCTACTTTAAATTTTTAAATTGCCTTGAACAGGCAGGAGTACTTTTTAATATATGTGTGTTATGGCAACAATTTTTATGTTTATATTTTGTTTTGTTAATCTTATGATTATGTTGTTTTTTCCTTTGTATGTTTTGCGATGTTACCTGGGAACCGCTCTGAGTCCCCTCGGCGAGATGGAGTGGTATATAAATAAAGTTTTATTATTATTATACTTTCTGCCTGGGGGAATCCTTTGTTGGGAGGTGTTAGCTGGTCCTGATTGGAATCTGATTGGAATCTGGACATTCCGCAGATATATAAACCTCACTACCTAGTTTCCAACAGACCTCACAACCTTTGGGGATGCCTACCATAGATGCAGGCAAAACGTCAGAAGATAATGCTTCTGGAACATGACCAGACAGCCCAGAAAACTCTCAGCAATGCAGTGATTCTGGCCATGAAAGCCTTCGACAACACGTAATCATTCCAATTGGCAAGCTGTCTTGAGTCCCAGTCTTGGAGAAAAGGTACATTACATATTTTAAAAAAACGTTTTTTCTTCCTAAAGAAGTGAATTGAAATCCATGAAAGCACATACTGAAATGAACAAATTATAAATACACTACCAGGTCCCTTCGCTGCCTCCTCTGTCTGTCCATTTTGTAATTACTTGAGAAGAAAGAAAACTTTCGGGAGTAGGCTGGGATTGTCTTGAAAAAGAGAGTTGGTTCTCCGGAGGGTCTTAAAGGGGCTTGCTTTTGTCTCCTGTGGTCTGCAGACTCCTTCTCCACCGGAGAGCCCCGGGTGTTGGGCCTGGCCATGGTCCCAGGGCATCACATTGTCTCCATCGAAGTGGAGCTGGAGAGCCTGGCCTCCCTGCAGTACCTCTGACGCGGCACCTGAGGGCAGCAGCCATTGATTGGCTTTCTTTATTTTGACCAAAAGACTGGCTTGACCTCCCAGCTGAACAAGACACCATTCAGATGTTGGAAGCCCTTGCACTGTGAACGTGTACATATTTCCGTACTGTATATTAAATGTTTTGATTAAATGCACATTCCAGGAATAGTCCATTCCTAATAGTAGGCTGTTAGCAATTGTGGGAGTTGAAGTCCAAAACCCCTGGAGGGCTGAAGCTTGCCCATGCTGATAATACAGGTTGAGCATCTCTTTTGGAATTGCAATGATTGCTTCTTGTCTGGTAACAAGAAACAGACAAGAGTTCTTTCTCCCTCCCTGGACACCATTCCACAGATATATAAACCCCACTTGGCTAGTTTCCAACAAACCTCACAATCTCTGAGGATGCCTGCCATAGATGTGGGTGAAACGTCAGGAGAGAATGCTTCAGGAACATGGCCAGACAGCCCGGAAAACCCACAGGAACCCAATTACATTTTTCTCTCTGCCACAATTGTTGTGTGACAAGAGATAATGCTCTTGTAATGCTTTTGGCTCTATGACCAGAACTCACAGAAGTTGTTTTAGAAATGCTATTTCCAATGTCCCTGATTACAGAGGATTCTGGAAACTTTGCAATCTAGCCAATAAGCCAGATATTCAACTAGCAGTGCTCCTGGTACAGAGATGCAACAGCGCTTCAAAAAGTTCCTTTCTTGGCCTATAATTCCCAGAATCCCCCAAAACCTGAATGACCATTAGGGATTCTTGGAGTTCTCCGAAACTCAGCTTTCTCTCACAACTCTTAGCAGAGAACATTTGCAGAAATGGGATGTAGATCTGGAAATAGAGGGGCCGAGTCCAGAAAGGACATTGACAACTAACTGATGGACCATCCATTCGCGTGGGGTCAGAGCGGAGAATATCCTGTTCCAAACAGGATAAGGAAGAACTGAGTCAGCTCCGGGCACCATAAGGTTCTTATGGAAACACCGTGTTCTGGAGAGGAAGGAACCTTGGATAAGATAACTCGGTTCTCTTGGCTCCCACAAGCTCCCCATTGTGGTGTGGGGCCATCTATCTATAGATACCATTTCCTGCCCTACGTGCAATCAATGCAGTGGCCCCAGAGGTCAGTGTGTTGGGAGGGAAACGCAAAAGTTCAATCTGTGCACAGGCTGAGCATCTCTTATGTAAAATGTATTGTTGAAGGCTTTCATGGCCGGAATCACTGGACTGCTGTGAGTTTTCCAGGCTGCATGGCCATGTTCCAGAAGCATTCTCTCCTGATGTTTCACCCACATCTATGGCAGGCATGCTCAGAGGTTGTGAGGTCTGTTGGAAACAAGGCAAGTGGGGTTTATATATCTGTGGAATGTCCAAGATGGGTGAAAGAACTCTTGGCTTGAGGCAGACACCTCCCAACAAAGGATCCCCCCAGGCAGTAACCAGGTGGTCAGTTGCAACATTCACACTTMCCTCAAGCAGACAAGAATTCTTTCTCCCACCCTGGACACTCCACATATATATATACAGTCCAGGGACAGCCAATACCTCCCAACAAAGGATTCCCCGGGTAGGAAGCAGCCAGGCTTTGAAGCTGCAAGTTCTTTCTCCCACCCTMGACACTCCACATATATATATAAAGTCCAGGGACAGCCAATACCTCCCAACAAAGGATTCCCCGGGCASGAAGCAGCCAGGCTTTGAAGCTGCAAGGCCATTCAGTGCTAATCAAGCTGGCCAYTGYCAACATTCACACRTGCCTCAAGCAGACAAGAGTTCTTTCTCCCACCCTGGACACTCCACATATATATATACAGTCCAGGGACAGCCAATACCTCCCAACAAAGGATTCCCCGGGCAGAAAGCAGCCAGGCTTTGAAGCTGCAAGGCCATTCAATCCTAATCAAGCTGGCCAGTGGCAACATTCACACTTACCTCAAGCAGACAAGAGTTCTTTCTCCCACCCTGGACACTCCACAAATATATATACAGTCCAGGGACAGCCAATACCTCCCAACAAAGGATTCCCCGGGCAGGAAGCAGCCAGGCTTTGAATCTGCAAGGCCATTCAGTGCTAATCAAGCTGGCCAATGGCAACATTCACACCTGCCTCAAGCAGACAAGAGTTCTTTCTCCCACCCTGGACATTATTCCACTGTGATTCCAGCCATGAAAGCCTTCAACAATACAAAGATGACATTCTTTTCATCACCAAAAACCTAAGTTTGCAGAAGCTTCTTTCCAAACCCAGGGGAGAAAAAAAGAGATAAAAAGGAAATGAAAACACTCCAAAAGTGTGTAACAAAGTTATAGTCTGTATATGGATAGAACTGTACAAATTACATTCACTGACATAATGTTTACATGAAATAAACACTCAAACGGCATAAGGATTTGGGGTGTATACATTAGCAAAAGGGGTGACAGCATAATGCAAGTGAAGGGGTTACATATATAAGACAGCGATTTCATGAAGCAGTGAGTTCCATAGGCATTCCTGCTAGGCCAAACTCCCCTCCTCTTTCCCTTCCACCTTTTAAGCAACCCTTTCATATGAAACTAAGGTTCTTTTCAAAGTTTTGATCAATTTGGAGACTCCTTTGGAAGCCAAGCACTGCTTTCTTGCCTTCGCTTTACTTGCATAATTTACATGCAAGGGTCATAGAATCATAGAGTTGGAAGAGACCTCGCGGGCCATCCAGTCCAACCCCATTCTGCCAAGAAGCAGGAAAATCGCATTCAAAGCACCCCTGGCAGATGGCCATCCAGCCTCTGTTTAAAAGCCTCCAAAGAAGGATCCTTTACCACAGCATTTTTCAACCTGGGGGTCGGGACCCCCAGAGGGGTCATGAAGGGGTGTTAGAGGGGTCGCCAAAAACCATCAGAAAACACAGTATTTTCTGTTGGTCATGGGGTTTCTGTGTCGGAAGTTTGGCACAATTCTATCATTGGTGGAGCTCAGAATGCTCTTTGATTGTAGATGACCTATAAATTTCAGCAACTACAACTCCCAAATGTCAATGTCTCTTTCCCCACAAACTCCACCAGTGTTCACATTTGGGCATATTGAGTATTCATGCTAAGTTTGGTTTCAGCTTAGCATGAATACTCAAACAATTCATCATTGATTGCGTCCACAGTGCTCTTTGGACTTAGGTGAACTACAACTCCAAAACCCAAGGTCAATGCCCACCAAACCCTATCAGTACTTTTTGTTGGTCATGGTAGTTGTGTGTGCCAAGTGTGGTTCACTTCTGTTGTTGTTGGAGTTCAGAATGCTCTTTGATTGTAGGTTAACTATAAATCCCAGCAACTATAACTCCTAAATGACAATATCTATCCTTCCCAACCCTGCCAGTATTCAAATTTGGGTGTATAGAGTATTTGTGCCAAATTTGGTTCAGTGAATGAAAATAAATCCTGCTTTGGTTAGACCACATCTGGAATATTGTGTCCAATTCTGGGCACCACAATTCAAGAGAGATATTGACAAGTTGGAATGTGTCCAGAGGAGGGTGACTAAAATGATCAAGGGTCTGGAGAACAAGCCCTATGAGGAGCGGCTTAAGGAGCTGGGCATGTTTAGCCTGAAGAAGAGAAGGCTGAGAGGAGATATGATAGCCATGTATAAATATGTGAGAGGAAGCCACAGGGAGGAGGGAGCAAGCTTGTTTTCTGCTTCCTTGGAGACTAGGATGCGAACAATGGCTTCAAACTAAAAGAGAGGAGATTCCATCTGAACATGAGGAAGAACTTCCTGACTGTGAGAGCCGTTCAGCAGTGGAACTCTCTGCCCCGGAGTGTGGTGGAGGCTCCTTCTTTGGAAGCTTTTAAACAGAGGCTGGATGGCCATCTGTCAAGGGTGATTTGAATAATAGAATCAAAGAGTTGGAAGAGACCTCATGGGCCATCAAGTCCAACCCCATTCTGCCAAGAAGCAGGAATATTGCATTCAAATCACCCCTGACAGATGGCCATCCAAAAGTTGAGGAAGCAAGAAGCCATTTTGCTCCCTCCTGCTTCGGGTAAGCCTTGTCTTAGAGGGCACTAGGAATCTGAGTGAGTGTTTAAAATTAGCTGCTGAGTGTTTTTGAGTGTGATTCAAATCAAGGGTGATTTGAATGCAAAATTCCTGCTTCTTGGCAGGGGGTTGGACTGGATGGCCCATGAGGTCTCTTCCAACTCTTTGATTCTATGATTCTATGTGCCAAATTTGGTTCAGTGAATGAAAATAAATCCTGCATATCAGATGTTTACATTACGATCCATAACAGTAGCAAAACTACATTTGTGAAATAGCAACAAAAATAATTTTATGTTTGGGGGTCACCACAACATGAGGAATTGTATTAAGGGGTCGCGGCATTAGGAAATCCATAACAGTAGCAAAACTACATTTGTGAAATAGCAACAAAAATAATTTTATGTTTGGGGGTCACCACAACATGAGGAATTGTATTAAGGGGTCGCGGCATTAGGAAGGCCGAGAACCACTGCTCTACCATAAAGCAATTGGTCAAAGCAGTTGAGGACCATAATACAAGAAGCTGGGGACCATATGTGGCATGCAAGGCATGTTTTCCCCATTTCTGGCATTTACACAAGAGAAAAAGTGAGATTAGGGGGACTAATATCTACCAGCACCAGTTAGACCCAGAAAATAGAAGAGCAACAGTGATTTATCCATTCACCTCCAGTACTTTAGCAAGTTCTCTAGGCCTTTAAGATCTATCCGCTATAGGGCTTGAAGGCATTGGGTGTGAGTATTTTCATCCATAAGGGATTTGTTGCTACTTTTATCCCATAACGACAAAAAAGTCTTTCCTGTTGTCTTTGCCAGCGGAATTGTTGGCAGGCCTTGGGAGGAAGTCTCGACACCGATGTAGTTGGCTGGATTTTCCATTTCTTGTTTCCTCCTTTGTGTTTACCACGTCCAGAGGTCTCTGGGTCGGATGTCACACCTCTTGCGTTTACAACAGTAGTATGCACAAGCAAGTCCCGTGGCTTGGGAACGAGTCTGATAAACAATGTAGTAGCCACCCTTCGTTTGGAAGGGGAGAAAAGCAATTTCCTCAAAGTTTGACATTCTCAATCCCTAACCCACCACCCTAACCCACGTTCCCTCCGTGGCCACCTCAAACCCAGACCTTTTCCACAGGGTCGAGTTCCTGTGCGCAGCAGCATCCGGAGCTGTGGTACTGGGAGGCCGGCAGGTTCTTGTAGACGGCTTTGCTGTACGGGACGAGGCAGTAGCCCAGCTGGAGGCGGCGGGCCAAACGGCAGTAGGCGGCCAGGGCCAGGACCAGGAGTGGCACGGCCAGCGTGAAGCCGACCACCAGCAGTGCCACCGAGGCCGAGTCGTGCAAGTGGGCCGTGCAGTAGGACGCCTGGGTGTGTAAGAACTGGAGAGAGAGAAAAACCAAGATAGGAGAGAACACACAACCTTTAAGTCAGGCATGAGGAAATTTTGGCCCTCCAGGTGTTTTGGACTTCAACTCCCATCATTCCTAACAGCCGATAGGCTGTTAGGAATGATGGGAGTTGAAGTCCAAAACACCTGGAGGGCCAAAGTTTCCCCATACCTGTTTTCTGATCTCTTGGGTATGAATAAAATGCAATCGTGGGAGCATCACAAGTTGGTTTGTGTCTCAAAGGCAACAGCATACACATCCCTTTCCATATTATTTTAAAAAATGCAGAAAACACAAAGATGGGATCTAGCACAGTGTTTCTCAACCTGGAGGTCATGACCCCTGGGAGGTTGCAACGGGGTGTCAAAGGGGTCACTGAAGACCTCAGAAAACACAATATTTTCTGTTGGTCATGGGAGTTCTGTGTGCCAAGTTTGGCCCAATTCTATCGTTGGTGGGGTTCAGAATTCTCTTTGATTGTAGGTGAACTATAAAATCCCAGGAACTACAACTCCCAAATGTCAATGTCTTGGTCATCGGAGTTTTGTGTGCCAAGTTTGGTTCAATTCCATCTTTGGTGGAGTTCAGAATGCTCTTTGATTGTAGGTCAACTATAAATCCCAGCAGCAGCAACAACTCCAAATGTCAAGGTCTATTTTCCCCCAAACTCCACCAGTGTTAACATTTGGGCATATTGAGGATTCATGTCAAGTTTGCTCCAGATCCATCATTGTTTGAGTCCACGGTTCTTTCCCAAGGTAGGTAAACTACAGCTCCCAAACTCAAGGTCAATGCCCACCAAATGCTTCCAGTATTTTTTGTTGGTCATGGGAGTTCTGTGTGCCAAGTTTGGTTCCATTCCATCATTGGTGGAGTTCAGAATGCTCTTTGACTGTAGGTGAACTATCAATCCCGGCAACCAGAACTCCCAAATGTCAAGGTCTATTTTCCCTAAACTCCACCAGTGTTCACATTTGGGCATATTGAGTATTCATGCCAAGTTTGGTACAGATCCATCATTGTTTGAGTCCACAGTACTCTCTGGATGTAGGTGAACACCAAAACTCAAGGTCGTGCCCACCAAACCCCTCCAGAGTTTTCTGTTGGTCGTGGGAATTCTGTATGCCAAGTTTGGTTCATCCATCATTGGTGGGGTTCAGAATGCTCTTTGATTGTAGGTGAACTATAAATCCCAGCAACCCCAACTTCCAAATGTCACTGTCTATTTTCCCCATACTCCACCAGTGTTCACATTTGGGTATATTGAGGATTCGTGCCAAGTTTGGTCCAGATCCATCATTGTTTGAGTCCACAGTGCTCTCTGGATGTAGGTGAACTACAACTCCAAAACAAGGTCAATGCCCACCAAACCCTTCCAGTATTTTCTGTTGGTCATGGGAGTTCTGTGTGCCAATTTTGGTTCAATTCCATCGTTGGTGGAGTTAAGAATGCTCTTTGATTGTAGGTGAACTATACATTCCATAATGTGTGTGTATGTGCGTGTGTGTGTGTGTGTGTGTATAATGTATATGCGTGTGTGTGTGCGTGTATATATATTTGTATGTGTGTGTATATATATGTGTGTGTGTGTGTGTGTGTGTGTATATATATATACTAGCTGTGCCCTGCCACGCGTAGCTGTGGCCTATAGTAAAACTTATCAAAGTTGAGGTAGATATCTGGACTATTATGAAAGAGAGGTACCTATTCCTTCCCCCTTTTCCTCCCCCTTTCTCTCCTTCTCTACCTCTTTCTTTCTTTCCTTCTTTCACTACTTGGTTTCATCCTTCTCTCTTTCCTTTATTCCCTCCCCCTTTCTTCCTTTGCCTTTCTTCCCTCCCTGTTTGCTTCCTTCTTTCACTTTTTATTTCCTTTTATTTCACCACCATCATAACAATAACAATAATGCAATGCATTGCCTCTGGGACCTGACACCTCTCCCATTCCCCCTAAAAGGGTCTCATAGGAATAATAGCATCATAATAATCATAGAAATAACAACCTTTACCCGCCACGCGTTGCTGTGGCCAACCTTCCCTCTTTCTCTCCTTCTTTCCCTCCTTCCTTCCTTCCCTCCCATCTTTCCTTCTCCTCTTCCTTCTCTATCTCTTTCCTTCCTTCCCCCTTTTTCTTTCTCTTCTGGTCTCTTTTCTTCCTTCTCTCTTCCCTTCTTTCCTTCCCTCCCTCTTTCTCTACATCTTCCCCCTTCCTTCACTCCCTCTTTCTTTCCTTCATTCCCTTTTTTCTTTCCTTCTCTCCTTCCTTCCTTCCCCCTTTTTCTTTCTCTCCCTTCTCTCTTTCCTTCTTTCCTTCCCTCCCTCTTTCTCTACATCTTCCCCCTTCCTTCCCTCCCTCTTTCCTTCCTTCATTCCCTTTTTTCTTCTCTCCTTCCTTCCTTCCCCCTTTTTCTTTCTCTTCTGGTCTCTTTTCTTCCTTCTCTCTTTCCTTCTTTCCTTCCCTCCCTCTTTCTCTACATCTTCCCCCTTCCTTCACTCCCTCTTTCCTTCCTTCATTCCCTTTTTTCTTTCCTTCTCTCCTTCCTTCCTTCCCCCTTTTTCTTTCTCTTCTGGTCTCTTTTCTTCCTTCTCTCTTTCCTTCTTTCCTTCCCTCCCTCTTTCTCTACATCTTCCCCCTTCCTTCACTCCCTCTTTCCTTCCTTCATTCCCTTTTTTCTTTCTTTCTCTCCTTCCTTCCTTCCCCCTTTTTCTTTCCCTCCCTCTGTCTCTCATTTCTTCCTTCTCTACCTCTTTCCTTCCTTCCCCCTTTTTCTTTCTCTTCTGCTGTCTCTCTTTTCTTTCCTTCCATCTTTCCTTTGATTTCCTTTTCTTCTTCCTTCTTTCTCTAACTTTCCTTCCTTCCCCCTTTTCTTTATCTCCCTTTCTCTTTCTTCCTTCTTTCCTTCCTTCCTGTCTTTCCTGGATTTTGACAGGGCGGGAAGGGGCGGGGTGGGGTTTGGAGGTGGCGTGAAGTAAAAGGAGGTAAGATTGGGGCAGGCGAGTGATGGAGCGTGGGGTTGCGTGTGTGTGTGCGGCAGCGGGGGGGAGTGGGGTTGCGCGTGTGTGTGTGGCGGTGGGGGGAGTGATGGAGCGTGGGGTTGCGTGTGTGTGTGCGGCGGGGGAGTGATGGAGCGTGGGGTTGTGTGTGTGCGTGCGGCAGGGGGGGGGTGTGCGGGAAGTGGCGGGGGGGTGTGTGTGGGAAGCGGCGCGGCGGGGCTTGGAGTGGGCATGGCTTCCGCAGAGGGAACTGTGTGCGCGCGCCAGGGAACTTGCGGCTGGGCACCAATGCGCATGCTCAGTTGTTTTGCCGTTTTGTGAGTGTGTTGTTGTGTTGTTTTTCATTTTGAGTAGATATGTTTGTACCTTATGGGTTGTGTTATGGGCATGGGAATTTTGGTTAAGTTTCGTTGGGTTTTTTGAGTTTTGTTGTTTTGCCGTTTTGTGAGTGTGTTGTTGTGTTGTTTTTCATTTTGAGTAGATATGTTTGTACCTTGTGGGTTGTGTTATGGGCATGGGAATTTTGGTTAAGTTTCGTTGGGGGATTTTTGAGTTTTGTTGTTTTGCCGTTTTGTGAGTGTGTTGTTGTGTTGTTTTTCATTTTGAGTAGATATGTTTGTACCTTGTGGGTTGTGTTATGGGCATGGAAATTTTGGTTAAGTTTCGTTGGGGGGTTTTTGAGTTTTGTTTCCTCGTTGGATGCCCCTAACAAGATTTAATATATTAAGGTAAAGGTAAAGGTTTTCCCCTGACATTAAGTCCAGTCGTGTCCGACTCTGGAGGTTGGTGCTCATCTCCATTTCTAAGCCGAAGAGCCGGCGTTGTCCGTAGACACCTCCAAGGTCATGTGGCCAGCATGACTGCATGGAACGCACTCTTACCTTCCTGCTGGAGCAGTACCTATTGATCTACTCACATTTGCATGCTTTCGAACTGCTAGGTTGGCAGAAGCTAGGGCTGACAGCGGAAGCTTATGCCGCTCCCCGGAATCAAACCTGCGACCTTTCGATCAACAAGCTCAGAACCTATGTACATGATTTTACATATATGGGGCTCATATATATATATATATATATATATATATATATATATATATATATGAGCCCCATATAGGTAAAATCATGTACATAGGTTCAATGTACATGATTTTAATTGATGTACACTATATATATATATATATATATATATATGAGAGCCCCATATATGTAAAATCATGTACATAGGTTCAATGTACATGATTTTAATTGATGTACACTATATATATATATATATATATATATATATATATATATATATATAGGAGCCCCATATATGTAAAATCATGTACATAGGTTCAATGTCTATGATTTTAATTAATGTACTATATATATATATATATATATATATATATATATATGGGAGCCCCATATATGTAAAATCATGTACATAGGTTCATTGTATATGATTTTCATTGATGTACACTAGTACACTATATATATATATATATATATATATATATATATATATATATATATTGTGTACATCAATTAAAATCATGTACATTGAACCTTTGATGTTGCTATCTCAGTTACCCATTATTTTGGAGTATTTCAGATGTCACTATTTCTGATAAAGGGACGCTCCACTTGTGTTTATCATTGTCAAAAACTCTCCTTCCCACATCACAACCTGACACTTTGATAGCAAGGCCGTTATCATTTTGGAAAGGAAAATATTTCCATTCTCCGGCCATTTTTCAACTCTGCCGCAGAGGCATTTCCCTTCGTGATCTAACGCATTGTGTGCCTCCAATCTGTCCTTGTTGTTTGCCTGATGGACTGTAATATGAAGACCTTTTTAACAAATAGGAAGAGAGGGAGGGGAAGGGCCCTTTCAGAGATACCAGAGGAAATAGCAGCCCGGCCAGGCCTGGAATGTGTGCTTTGCCCCCGAAAGGTTATCAGCGCGGCCAGGAGTGCCGGCCATCTGGCTTCTGTCACTTTGGGCAAGGAGGGGCCC